TTCCAAGAGAAGTGGTGCTGGCTCCTACCCTGGGGGTCTTTAAGAGGAGGCTAGATGTACACCTTGCTGGGGTCATTTGTCCCCAGTACTCTTTCCTGCCATGGCGGGGGGGTGTCGGACTAGATGATCTACTCGGGTCCCTTCCAACCCTAGAAACTATGAAACTATGAAGTGGGGACCCTGAGTCAACCAATCTGAAATGCATCACTAGTTGTTGGGCAGACTAGCAGTTCCTAGCTCCCCAGGGAGCCCAAGTCCCTCACCCAGGTATGTAATACCAGTCATGTAGACAGAGGGAGCAGGTTTCCCCCCTCCCTCAGGAAGGTATCCAGCTCAGGTTACCTAGAGATAGGGTAAGGTGTGTACCCTCTGCAGGGCCCATCTTAACCAAACTATTACAGAGCAGAGTTTTTGGGGAGAAACAGAGGTGGCTTCTGCCACAGGCACTTCTCCCTACAGTGGCACAGAGAAAGCAATTGCAACAAAAGCCCCACATCTGCAGGCCAGATCCAATGACTTCACAAGCTGAATCTGGCCCATGGACTGTAGACTGCCAACCCCTCACTGAGACTACAGAGTAGGTATGTTTTGTAACAGAATAAAATAAGGAACAGACTGTTCTCATGATGGTCATATTCCACGTGCTAAAATGAGTGTACAGTTCAACTGACAGTGGGCATGGACAAAGGCTCAGGAAACATTCTTCTAAGACCCACATGGACAACTATCACATAACGTGACTGCACAAGCCCATCAAGTGAGAGCACTGAATTGAATACAGGTTTTAATACATGTATCTGTACCATCCCTATGGGCCCATTTTTAGAACATTTTGTATCTCAAATAAATGACTAACTTATAAAATCACAGTAAGTATCGCTATTTGGGGCCAACTGTACCAGGATATTAGCAACAAAACGTATCATTCATAACTGCCAGCATTATTACTACAAAAACACACTAAAAGCAGTGTGACTTTGGTAATCAAGCAGTTGAAACTGAATCAGCTCTCCCCTAATGAAACAAAACAAATGCATCACCCCAGTCTAGCTTTGTATTGTTTTGAGTGGTATCTTTATAATTAAAAGCCCCTGGACAATGCACATCCCTTGAATCATTCAAAACATTTTGCTGTTTTATGGTAGCATTGAGGTGGTGGCATTGTAATGGTAGTCCAGAAATGGCAAGAGGCAAGAATTCTTGTGGGTGATCCCTTTTAATGGACCAACTGTACAGCTGGGAAGCTTTAAAGTACCCTTCCTCGGGCATGTGCCTCCTTCAAGAGGCCTGAAAGATACTCTGCTACTTGAAAGCTTGCCTACATCTTTCCCAAATATGCAGTTGGTCCAACCACAAAAAAAAACACCACCCACAAGAATTCATGCCTCCTACTTTTTATGGTATTCTACAATTACCATATTCTCTCATATACAACAAACTGCCTTGCCCTCCCCACTAAATAAATAAATAAAAGATACATACATCCCAATTTTGGGAGACCGATATAAGCAGGGGAGCCGACTTGCTGCCCAGGGTTGAAAGCACCGAGGTTTGATCCCTCAGGGAATCAGCTCTGGTATTACTATACAGGCAGCTGAGGGAGTCAATTGACTTAATGGCTCAGTGTTCTTTATTCTACAGGCGTTTTCTTTAAAAGATGTTCCATTAATCAAGCCAACCTTTCTTAGGACAAATTTGCTGTCCACCAGCTGCACCAGGTTTATTTTACGGTTTCTTTAGCACAGACTCTTTAGCTCATAATCAGAAAGTCCAAGTACAGATGAGCATCCTGGAAATCCTTATTGCTGCCTGAATATGCCAGGAACACAATCCTCCACAGGTTCTCTACCAATTGAAACAAGGTACCTTCTTTCCCTTTCCCTCATGGCTGTCAGCTTGTTACCAACTTCAGATTATATGGCTTCACAACAACCTTCAAGGACCTATGCCAAATCTTTAGAGGGCTTTTTTTAAACAAACAGAGCTGGGCACTCCAGTTCACTTCTAGACATTCCCCTCCCAACTTTTTCATCTGTCCTTTCATTTGCCTAGGCTAGTGTTGAACTGAGCCCAATAAGCTGCCTAGCCTCCCCCCATCCCCTTCCCTCATACATGCACCTGTATTGCATTGTACACAGTACATCTCCCCTCTCTTAGGAGAGAAGTCCTGTAAATGGACAGTCTTTTCCATATTGGATATAATGCTGCCAGGTTACCCAGCTTTCCAAGATCATAGACCCACCCATGGACAACAGTCTTCAGTAGCAGCTAGGGATTCAGCTATAGTTAAGCAGGAAAGGGATACAAGGCTGTCCTTGCTCTGTGAGGCCACATCTTTGGAAAAAAAAGTCTTTTCTCTTCATTCCATCTTTCAAGGAGGAGGTGTGTTATACTTGGGGGCATGTTGTATCTGTGGCAGAAAGCCACCTTGGCCTCTCCCCAAAAAAAAAAAAATATCTGCCCTGTGACACTGTGATTTAAATCTCTGTGCTGTGACCATTCAATTAGGATGGCCCCAGCAAATAGGGGACCACACCCTCAGCCTGTCTCTATAGGGAACTTGAGCTGGCTGCATTCCTGAGGGAGGGGGGAAACCTGCTCCCTCTGCTTACGTGACTTGCATCACTTACCTGGGTAAGGGGTTTCTACCTGGGGAGCTGGGATCTGCCCGGTAACAGGTGATGCATTTCAGATTGGTTGGCTGACAGCCAACTGGGGGTGACCTCCGCTGGCCCAGGTGAATGAGGTCACAGGGGCTATATAAGTTAGGACGGGGAAGGAGGCGGTCTCTCCTCTCCGGCCATGAGGTGACGCAGCAGCCAGGCAGGGGACAGAGAAGCCTTAACATCTGAAACTGGCTCTCTCCCCCCAAACTCACGAGCTAGGAACCGCCTGCCTCCAAAGGGAAACTTCACCTGCCTTTGGAAGATGCTTGTGAGTAAGCTACTCAATCTGATTAGATATTTAGCTGGAAGTATCACAGATGCGTAATCAAAAGGCTACCACAGCCAGGCTGTTTGCTCTTTAGGATTTCTAGATATTGCTCTATCCTGTACCCTAGTTTACCCTACCCCCTGTAATCAATAAAGTTCTCCTTTTTGACTGGTGTGGGAGACTTATTGAGGGGTGGGTCTAAATTATGCCTAAGAGACCCCTTAGGTCTGTGGACTAAGGGAGACTATACCTTTTTGCCCCCGGACTTGGGGAAGTACCCCAAGTGCCTGTACTGGGTTGAGTACCCGTGGGACTTTAGGCCTGTGTTACCCCAAGGACACAGGGCCGCGAGACAGTCCATTCTTGGGGTGGTGGCGGCACGTTACCCCCAGACTAGCGAGTGTGCTCCGGGAGAGGGGTCGGCCAGACATAAGGCGCCCCTAGGGAGGCATTCGGAGCCTGGAAGGTGGTCGGGCGCAGGGAGGTGGGTGGCTCAACGCAGGAGCACCCCCTACTGGCCCGCCTCACGTGGTGGAAACAGCAGAGGGATACGAATACCCAGCTGTGTTCCTGAGGTGGGATCTCTGCACCCGCCACAGTATACAAGAAAAATATGGTAAATTAGATATAAACTATTGTCATTAAACTTTTTATTTAAGCTTTCCTAATGAGACATTTTTCAAAGAAGATGAACTAAGAGGCAACTGAGCAGAGAAACCAGTCACTTCCAAGTCTGTTCACCACAGCGCCCCAAAGAAAAACCAAGGACCAATAGTCAAACTCCTACAAGACCACTTTAGGCTGGACATGAGAAAAAATCTCTTTACTGTCTGAGCCCCCAAGACCTGGAATAGATTCCCTCCAGATGTGGTGCAGGCACCTACTCTGGACTTATTCAAGAAACACTTGGATGCTTATCTTGCTGGGGGCCTTCAACCGTAGCTGACTTCCTGCCCCTGGGGCAGCGGGCTGCACTTGATGATCTTTGAGGTCCCTTCCAGCCCTAACATCTATGAAATCTCAGAAATCTCCTTAGGAACCAACTGATCTGATATAAATCATTTTGGAGTAGTTTGAATGGCTATTTCTGCACTGTGCACAAATCTTCTCTATCCCACAGGTCTCTGAATTTATTTCTACAGCCCTAAAACACTACCACCTGTGGCTATCAGTCAAATTTGTTTTCTATCTCAAGCTGTTGCTATGGTTAAGCTGCAAATTGCCATCCTGTATCAAACAAATTGCCTGTAATACCAATACAAAAACAAATCAGAAATCACAAGCAAGACTTTATGCAAAAACATCTGTGCTCCCATCCTCCGCCCATTCAGCAGCACCCACTGTCCCGTAACATATTGTATTCAGTAGGGTACTCTGTTGCCTGGTGCCAAGATCATCTGGTATATTCCAGTCCCAAAAATACCTTCAGCAGAGAGAGTTAGCCATGTAAAGAATTCATAGCTCTGCAGAAAGAAAAGGATTCCTCTCACATGACAAAGGAGTTGTGAGTAATGTTATAGCTGATTATATTAAAAATGACTGAGAAGCACTTAAGTAGATCTTCAGCTAACACTAAAGTTCAAAGCAGAGGCCCCTTGTTTCAGGATACTTTACAGCATAGATATATTACATGTTTCATGTAATAGCCTTTACATAAAACTGGTGGTGTCTACATGCATCTTTCAAAGTGATTTTGTAGCAGTTGCTGCTTAGTTTGAATTTAAGTGATAAAATAACATGTGTGTAGGTTGTAGCCGTGTTGATCTAAGGACATAGGCAGACAAGGTTCTTTGGGTGAATCTGGTATCTTTTATTAGACCAACTTAATTAGTTGGAAAACAATTATTAAAGCAAGCTTTTGGGTTCAAAAAGTAGCACTTCTATAAGTTTTAGATCCTCAGAGAATTTAACAAGCATTAAGATTCTGAAGCCTGAGACAGCAAGAGCAATGACAGTGGCAGCAGTAACAGTTATTGCTTGTGCTTTTTTCTATTTCTGGCAGGCAGAGGACTTGATCAGAAAGCAGCAGCAAAAGCAAGACGTGGCAACCCAGGTGGCATCCAGGAATGGAGAGGCTGAAGGCAACAGTGAATGACACCTCAGAAAAAGCAGTTTGCCCCCTGATAGAGAGCTATAAGCATATTTTACTACCCTTTGCCTACAGCTGTGTGTTTGTGCTGGGGCTGCTCCTAAATGGTGCCATGCTATGGCTGTGTTGCCGCACTAAAGAGTGGACCTGCACCACCATCTACCTGGTGAACTTGGCAGTGGCTGATCTCTTCTACCTCTGCTCTCTGCCTCTGCTTATCATTAATTATAGCATGCAGGATAAATGGCCCTTTGGAGAGTTCCTCTGCAAAATGGTACGTTTCTTGTTTTATTGCAACCTCTATGGCAGCATCTTGCTGTTAACTTGCATCAGCATCCATCGCTTTCTGGGAGTTTGCTACCCCATCCGTTCACTCCCTTACAGGACCAGGAGACTGGCTGCCATTGGCACTGCTGTGTGCTGGGTACTGGTATTTCTGCAACTCTTGCCCACCGTAATCTATGCTCGCACTGGTACCATCAATAACCACACCGTCTGCTTTGACATGACTAGCCCTGACAACTTTGGCAACTATTACTCCTATGGCATGGCTCTCACTGCATCTGGTTTTGTCCTCCCCTTTGTCATCATTTTAATCTGCTACTGTTTGATGATCAGAAGCCTGATT